GAGAGGAAAACAAATACACAAAAATCAGAAAGTAACAGAAAAAATGTTTTAGCTGCAAGCTCCCAGACAACTCCCAGAACAACAAAATCTCTCTCAAAATAATAATAAACTACAAGCCTTATATTAACCTCCAACTCTTCCATATTTTGATTAATGGATTCGACTAGACTGCATAATTTGTAGTTCAAAATAATCCTTCCACTTGTCTTGTGCTGGGTCTTAATGAAGCCCCTCAGTTCATGTTCTGTCTGAAAGAAGCCACTATAGCTATGCAGTGTCTATAAAAAATGAATATTTCTTACAGGCCTGAAAAGCAAAGCCTTAAACCTACATGAATTCTCTCTGGCCAGCAGGAGGCGACTCCTCTGCTGCAAAAGCAAACTAATTGAATAAAGTCTACAGGCAAACTGGCTCCCTTATTTGTGACTTTTGTAAACACTTTCCTGATATGTTTATGTCCTCTATCATTAGTTTTATGTGATACTAAATGGAACATGGGCATAAATCTTCGAATTATGGTTCTCATTGCTATCAACAAGCGGGATAAAGCATGGTAGTCACTGTGTGACTGACAAGTCCCTAGCCAATAAGCATGCACCCAATGTCCCAAGGTTTCACAGATACATCTGCTTGGATATGATTTCCAAAAATTAAGAATGAGATGGGAAAACCTGCTGCTTAAGACTCAGTAGCAGTTAAATAAGCAATAGTGGATGCTAATGACTAAAATAAGAAAAGGCATAACAGGTCCCTTCCTATTATGCTCAGGAATTTAAACTACCACTAAGTGTCAGGGAATCCACCTTCCCCTAATAAAACTAACTGGATTAATTCAGCACCATTTATAAAATTACTTGAAATGAATTCATTACAATTTAACAGCCTTTACTTCCCTTTGATAAGAAACAACTATTTGAATTCTTTTCAAATACCATTTACTTATTATTAGATCCACAAACTTTAAGAAACGGACAGCTCCAGGCCAAGTTAAACCCACAAAACATTTGCCTTGCACAGCGCCAAGTCAGAGCTCAATCACAGCCGGCTGGCAACCACAAGGCAGCTGTGAGCTGCCGTCATGTCAGGGTTGGTGTGGAAACCTTTAGGGCTAAGCTGGAGTCATTTTTGTGGATGAGTAGAGTCACGCATCCATGATTTCAAACGCTCGGATGGAGCAATGGCCTGTTTGGTATGACGGGGGGAAAGGGAAGTCGGCCTAATTGCTGACAGAAGGAGAGTGAAGCCTCTGAAAAGCAATAAATATCTTGTGGAAAAAAGGGCTGAAGCTGGTTTCTGTTTTTCCTTCTTTTTCTTTTTTTCAAGTTATGCAATTACAGACCAGGGAACAGGATATTTACAAGTCAGCTGGTTAAATGACTCATCTCAACCAGAATCATGGAGTGAAGAGGAATGTACATTTTTCAACTCTGTGTGTTTAAAGCAGACCCATTATTCTCATTCCTAACTGCAAATTCTTATTCTTGAAATCTGTTAGAGAAGCTTTGCATGACTTATGGCTCAAAATAATCCTTGTTTATCTAATGCTGGGTTTTGCTCCAGCTCTGACTATCTGAAAAATCCTTGATCCTCCTTTCTTGTGAATGGCTGCCCATCACAGGTTAAAGCAGCTTCTGTGTGTGGAGATGACACTCCACACACAGAAGTGGAGATGTCCTCTTGGTCTGACATCAGACTGATGCAGGAGTACAAAAAAACCTGTCTTACAGTGATTACTTTTGACCTCATTATTTAAACTCTGGCCATGTTTACTATGAGCTTATATATATGTGACAGAAATATATATGTTATATATGTGAAAGAAAGGAAGAAACAATACATTGTCTTTAAAACCACAAATAGTGTGTAACATATGTTTGGGCACGTACAACCCATCTAAAAAAATTTGTATAGCATCATTCAGAGGCAACAGCACTCCCCAATGGCATCATACCTGTGAAGGTGCGCTGCAGGAGAGGCCCCCGCTGATCTCTCCGATTCGAGCTGCTGCTGTGGGGTTGCTGGAGCTGATGAGGACCGGCCCGCTAATCTCCATGGAGTGGCGCTGGGGGGGAGGCGCTAGCATGGGTTTGTGCGACATGGTGAGAGAGGTGAAAGAATGTCGTTTCTTGCTGTTCTTCTTCTCCCCTGCCCGGTGGGCACCATTTGTCTGAGGCCCTGAGGAGGCCCCTTCCCCGGAGTCTCCACTGGAGTCGGACGGCTTGTCCAATTCTATAAGCTGCCGAGCTGCCGAATTAAACTACAAGAGAGGAGGAGAGCCAGCAGGGTTATGAAGAGAGGAGTTGGAAGTAAGAAAAATGAAGGACTGATGGGGGAAGAAGCATTAAAATGATCA